GAGAGAGAGAGAGAGAGAGAGAGAGAGAGAGAGAGAGAGAGAGAGAGAGAGAGAGAGGGTTGAGGACTCTGCCGCCTCGGCCCGCCTGGAAGAGGGATAACGAAAATTTCCTTCTTTTTCGAAACCGAAAATTCGGCCTTAATTATGACAGCGAGTTCGAAACGACTCGATGGGAAAGAAAGCTCTGTGCAGAGTCCGAAAATCCTCAGTCACAGACCTCACTACCCAGAAGTTGCAAGACGAGCATCCGAGAATCCTTAGTCACAACAACTCCGAGCCAGACGTCTAGGACAGTCTATGTCAGGACTAAGGAGGCGATGATTAATCTAACGGACCTATCAATCTATCTATCACCGCTCTTCCTCACAAGAACTACTGTCCTCGACGATGTCCACGCCCGCCTTGGGGAAATGGCGGGCCTGGGTCTCCCACACCTTACTTTGTAAGGGCGCCCTTACGACTAAAATGTGATTAGTTTTCCCTTACTCCGTTTTTTGTTCCACAACCACTTACGAAAACCCTACACTTTATAGCACTTACGTTTCAGCGGCCCCGTGCGCGGCCCAGAATTGAATGTGAGTGTCCAACCCAGTGTTGCGGCGGAAAGGAAGTGCACTTCGTGTCTGACATCTGGCGCCAGGCAGTGGTAATGTGCTGAGCGTACAAGTTCTCGGCCCTGTGCCACCGCCATCGGCCATCCACCAAGATGTTGAATGCATCCGGACAGCCGGTCTGTAAAGATGCATTCAAAATGTTGGCCGCGCACGAGCAGTGCGGCCAGACCCTCAGGCCTATAGAAAACGCCGCGGTGAAGTATAAACGGCTCCCCCATCTGCAACCGCGTCACCGAGGTTAGGTTTGCCAGTCGGTTCACCCGAAGGTCGGCGGTTATAAAACCCCGAACTCGGGACATGTCGAGTAGAAAAGGTGCCGTACTTGGTAGCATCAGGCGGGAGGTTTCATTGCATGCGTTAGGGAAGTGGAGGAACAGTGGGAGCGTCGTGAAGCGAAGCCGAGCGGAGCAAAGCCACGAAGGCAAAGGAGGGTGAAGTGGGAGGAAGACGAGAGAGACAAGGACTAGTAAAGCAAGCAGGCCATTATCCTGACGCCATTCGAAAAAAACATCCTCTGCCCAACACCATCGCCCTTTCAATAGTGCTGTGTGGCGAGGGGCCGAAAACTCGTGAAAACCCAACTCCTGAGAACGTCTGACAGCTTTTGAAAATTTCCCCTTTTCAAGAGTTGTGTGGCGAGGACCAATATATGATTTGAGGGCCATCGGGGATAAAAAAAGGAAGTGCACTTCGTGTCTGACATCTGGCGCTAGGCGATGGTAACGTGCTGAGCATACAATCTCTCGGCCATGTGCTACCGCCATCCGCCATCCGCCAAGATGTTGAATGCATCCGGACAGCAGGTCTGTAAAGATGCATTCAAACTGTTGGCCGAGGACGAGGAGTGCGACGAGGCCTTCAGGCAGCTCACACATCTGGAACGGACTCACCGAGGTTGGTTTTGCCAGTCGGTTCGCCATAAGGTCTGCGGCTATAAGACCCCGAACTCATGACATGTCGCGTAGGGAAGGGGACGTACTTGGTAGCATCAGGGGGGAGGTTTCCTTGCATGCGGTAGGGAAGTGGAGGAACAGTGGGAGCATGGTGAATCGAGGCCGAGCGGAGGAAAGCCACGAGGGCTAAGGAGGGTGAAGTGGGACGAGGACGAGAGAGACGAGGACTAGTAGAGCAAGGGTCATGGCGATGGCTGCGTCGAGGAGAGCGATGGCGGCCTTCCTCTTGGGCGCGGTCATTGTGCTTCTCGGTATTACAGCACGGGCAGCAGCTCAGCCAGAGGCTGCAATCACGTCCTTCACATACACGGGCTCCGGATGTCCAGCCAATTCCGCCGTGGGGGAGATCAGCAAAGACGGGCAAGTACTTACCATGAAGTTCAGCGAGTTCAGCGCAACGACGGACGCAGGCAACGCGGGGAAACGGAGGAACTGCCAGATCAACATAAGGATGACGTATACTGATGGCTGGATTTATTCCCTGGAGACGGTCACGCTCCGGGGGTACGCGAGGCTTGACGACATGGTTAGGGCGGTCCACAGGGTGAGTCGTTACTTCACGGGAGTGCAGGGGCACGGCAAGTTCATCAAGGAGACGGTGGGCGAGTACGACGACAACTACGAGCATTCGGGTCCGCTCTCCCCACTTATCTCGAGCAAGTGCGGCCAAAACCGAAATATCATCCTCAATATGGAGGTGAAAGTCGACAACGGAGCCAACCCAGCCGGGCAAGGATTCATCGATGTGGGCACGGCAGACACCCCCGTCACCTTCCACGTCAAATGGGAGGCGTGCTCCTGAGCGACGCATGCTGTAGAGACTCGTGTCAAGCTCAGACAATCAAGGAGTCTGTTCGGGCCGCATGCTCTGATTCAGCTCCGCTGAGCTTTCCACGGCGAACTCGGTGTTTTGGCTGTATTGTCAAAATTTGGGAGTAGAACTACGTTGTATGTACTAGCGCTTGTTTTTCACTCCATCCGACGGGGTTCGATCGTCGGGCCTCTTGTTGTTGGAAATTACATTTATTCTGCGCAGACCAACAACCGTTCCGTTGTCGCTTTGCTCTTTGGTCACCAGCTCCCTGTCGCGGGAGCGCAGCGTCATTCGGCCGTGGAAGTTAAAGCGCGCGAGGACCCCAAACATTCGAATTCAAATTCCGCGCCCGCCAGTTCCCTTCGCGCACATTTGTGGACTCCCCGCCGTCGCGTTCCCCGCACTGTATGCGGCAGTCATCCACCGTTGAGCGTGCGTGCGTGGCTTCGCATGTCGCTGTCGTGTGCCTTTTGTACGCAGCGTAGTCTAGCTATGCACAACAGTGGGCGCGATCCACAGGCGGCGAGGAGATTGTCAACCAGTGAGAAGAGCATGGTCGCCAGTGCTGTCCTCGCTGTGTGTCGGTACATGGAGACGATGAACGGGTTGCGGCATGCGGGTGGGAGGGGAAGGGGGAGGAGGGAGGCCGCCATAGCCCAGGCGTTGGCAGACGTCTGTATATCGTCCGGTCTATCAGATGCTCCTTTCCTGTTGTCCAACGCAATTGTTGCTGGTGTTCTGCCCAGGGACACACCGCGGTGGTGGATGAAAAGACGAACGGGCGGGACATGGCGAGACTTGGACATTACAAACCACGCGACGAATGAATATTTCCATGACAAGCTTCGAATGTCGAGGGCCATATTCGGCGACATTGTTGCAGCTTGCAGTCCATTCATCGACCGTAGACTGACGCACTACTGCGAGCCCTTGCAGACAGACCTTATCGTTGCCTTCGCGTTATACCGGTGGGCAACTGGGGAGACGTTTGAGAACGCTTCGTCGAGCTTTGGCTTCGGCAGGTCATCCGGGGTGAAGGCCACCACGGACGTCGCCAATGCAATACTGGCTGCATATCCAAACAAAGTCGCCATGCCGACCGGCCGTCGGCTGCTGCAGGTGACCCGAGCATTCGGAGCGAAGGGGTTCCCTAATTGTTTCGGCGCAATCGATTGCACGCACGTGTACGTGGACAAGCCCGCCAATGCACCGTCGGAGAACTACTACGACCGAAAACAGCAGTTCTCGGTCGTCGCCCAAGTCGTCGTCGATCTTGACATGAGAATTCTCGATGTGTTCATGGTTTACCTGGGGAGCGTCCACGACCAGCGGGTTTTGATAAATTCTTCACTCTTTCGACGTGCGGAGGCGGGCGAGCTCTTCGTCGCGGAACCTGTTCTGCTGCCAGGGGGGGTGTCCACAACAGGGTACCTGCTTGGGGACAACGGGTACTCGCCGAGAACGTGGATGGTGGTCCCCTACGGGGGGACCGACCAAGCAGGGGACATCGGCTTGTTTGACACGCGGCAGAAGACGACGAGAGGAGTCGTGGAGAGGGCTTTCGGGCGTTTGAAGGGGATGTGCTGGTTGTTCCTTTGACATTACAAGACGAACATGGATAATCTGCCTCAGCAATTTCTGGCCGTTTGTATCATCCACAACTTGTTGCTTGAGGCGGGCATACCGTTCGACGACTCGGTCCTGCTCGAGCCGGACGAGAAAGGCAATCTAGTTTGTATCGATCTGGGGTTGCAAGATCCGCCACGACCAGTGTCGCAATCGGGCGCAACCGATGCTGCCCTGGCTTTGCGTGACGGGTTACGTGTGCGAATGAGGAATTGAATCTTTGGGTGTGAACCCGACGGTCATGTCGGGTTTCCTTGCTTGTTTCGATTATAGGGTTTACTGCTTTAGCCGGCGCCACTCAATCCTTCTCCAATTGGAGAAGCAATCAATGCTGGTTGCCTGGTGTGGTGAAGTGTGGCGTGTGCGGTCGTCGGTAGGGGAATAGGTCGATCGTGCATCACAAAAGCAGCGTGTTGATGTGATGACAGTTTCGTGATTTGATCTCCCGCGTTCATGTTCTAGTTTTCAGTATAAGTGAAGAATTTGTGTCTTTCTTTCAAAAAGTCATCATCCTTTCTTGTCATGTTCATATTCCTGGTAGACGGTAATTGCTTTTCATTCTGTGTGTTTTTTTCGCAAAGGATAACGACTATATGTGTTCATTTGCTTTCTCAGTTTTATAGTCGTCCATGGGTGAGGCGAAGTACACAATAGAAGTTTGTTGCACATGAGCTTTATATGTGTTCGGCACACTAGAGAAACCAAAGGAAATTGACATCCGCACATCCGATGGCGAAAAAAAAAATAGCGACGCAAAAGCACATACTCTCTTCACAATCGGACATCCACAAACTGCTCGTTAACACTCTGCAAACAGTGGGCAAAAAACACAAATCAGTCAACACAACTAAACCCTAAAACTGCATGCAAACTAAAAAAAGATGATCAACACCTCCACCACCACCTCAGAAACCCTTAATGTGCCATGCGCATGTGTTACCACCTCCCCCACCATGTCAATTCCAATGTGCGCCATGCTTGTGCGGCATGGCAACAAAAGTACACGGGGAAACATCTCTCTACAACCTTCGACTAACAGGGACACGCAGTCGTTGTCCATCATAAACGAAGAAGACGAGCCAAACAAAAAAGATAAGGGCGTCATCCATTTGGAACACGATTTGGTCGTCTCTCTCTCTCTCTCTC